CTCTCTGGAGCTCATGTTGCTCCATATTCTTTAAACGGCTCTACCCTGCAGCAGTTGATGCTGGTGGGCTACACAATGAGTAGAAAAGAGAAGCTTGCTCTCTTAGATGTTATGTCTGCCTGGCTCTTAAGGGTTGAAGCCTGTCCTGCACAAGTACGTTCTAGCTTGAGGCTCACGCCTGCTGCGTGCATTTCTGTTACACTCACTTGCACAGAGCAAATGCCCTTAATAACCATTTAGCTGCTAAGGCACGCTTGTCTGTCTCCCATTCACAGCCTTAGCCGCTAATTACATTCCCAAAGTAATGGACAGTTCTGTGTTCCCTCAATGCTTCCCTTTTTTTTTCCTGAGCACAATCAGCCAGCTGCCTTCGCAAGTGGGACTTAGTGGTCAGCGCAGACATGAAATGCGTGTCCAAAATTCAACTAAAGATACAGTTTTCTTTTTTTTTTTTATGTTGGTTTCAAGACCTTTTTTTTCTAAACAAAAGGGTTCTGTTTTCCTTACAATTCCAGCTCCTTTTTTGTTAAGCATGCAGGCTTCTTGGCACAAGGCAAGTACAAGTGCAAAGTATAACAAAGGGTAAATATTAAACAGGTCTAAAGCCACAACTACACACAAATAAACTATAATTATTAATTACAAATATATAAAAAATCGGTGCATCCTAATTTATTGGAACATCAATTAAAGAAATAAATTGTTTCTCAATAATTAAATTCATCATATAAAGTTATTGCAGGTAGAGCCACTAAATTAAAAATCATAACTTTGTTATTAAAATCCAATGTTTACTGTGTCAGCAAATTAGAACCTTACAGCAATAAAATAGCTTTTTAATAGAGTGATGTAATTTGATGGCCACGTTATGACCTGTGCAATCATTTGGACTGTTGTCTTTATAGTTGTTCAGAAGACATGCATCAACGCTTCCCACAAAGAGGGGAAGTCACACAAGGTCATTGCTAGAGAAGCCGGCTGTTCACAGCTGAGACGTAATGTAAAAGTTAAGTGGAAGGAAGAAGTGTGGTATCCTAACAAAATGTCACAATACAGAGTAAAAGAATCTAACTTACAGTCTGCTGATTCAGTACACAAAAGAAGGCTAATAACTAATAAAACCCCCAAATTTAGCTCCTCCAAACATGTTCTACGAAAAAAAAAAAACATAAATAAAACTGAGTAATGCTGGCTGCCTGGAAAATATGTCTATAAACTGCACACTAAATTGCTGGCTGGGCTCCTTTTGCAAAATAACTGCATCATTTTAGGATGGACCCAACCAGGTGTGACTGCTGCGATGTTAAGGAGGCCCCATTTACTTCAGCTTGTCTGCGTGGTTGATCTGTCTTTTATAAATAGGTGTGTGTGCGTGTGCGTGTCTGGGAAAAATGGATCAAATAAAAAGTATTCTCAAGTTTCTGGTGCCACACTACCTCATCTAATTATCTGGGTGATTTTATCTTTGCCAGCTGCCATTTCATTTTAACCACAGCTACTTGCCAAAGCCCAGACACATCTACAACCATCGTGTTGAATCGTTAAAATTGCACCCTTAATCAAAATTAGTGAAATCTCTCTCGGTGATACGACACACAACAATATAAAAAATAGAACTCATCCATCAACACAGTTGAAAGCGTTTAGGAAAACGACAGCGTAGTGAAGTGATTAAGAATCTTAATGTAGGGTCCACATACCTTGTCCATTGTGAGGGAGCTGTCATGGTTGGATAGTCAAAGCAGACAGTTTTTTCCTGCCTCTACCAGACAACCGAGGCAGCCAAAGGCCGCTGTTAGGAGTGACGTGAATACCAAACAAATGTGAATCCAAACTGAGCACACCTTGTTTCACGACTGTGAACGGCACAATTTGCTCGCCTGAAACCATGATTTTCTCTTTTTTTTTTTATTACTTACAACCACAACACCAAAGACAAAATATTCCATCAGTGTAATAGTTTTCAGAGCTTCGATTCACTCCAGTGGCAGTGGGACTGAGTGCAATATTTGCAAGGTGGTGTTTTTGGATCTGTAAATACAAGTGCCCCCCACCCCCCACCTCTGTTTCAGAGAGGTGCCCTCAACAGAGCACACAACCCTGATTTCCCATCGGCTGAGCCCGATCGTCGACTATGGACCGTGTTTGCATGGCTGTGGATGTTTGTGGCTGTGATTAGTTCTGAGAGAACAAAACAGGTTCAAACTAAATTACATGATTATTTACAAACACTATTTTTTTTTAAAACAAAAAAACAAACACAGCCTTTTTTGTTTCCTAAATGCAAATTATGTGTGCATAAGGGCTGCAACTAATGATTCTTTTGCAAATTGATCTTTCGATTAATAATCAGATAGACAAAGGTTCTGTAAAGAAGATTTCTGATTAAATTAAACCGAGTGAAACTAAAACTTTTCCACTTGAGTTGTGGATTGAACATATTGACAGACGAAAAACATTTTTTTTTATCTTAAATGCAATATGTTTAATTATTATCTTAGCTCTGTCAGCTAAAGGCATGTTTTATAGTCTATATTACAGATAACGATTAATCGATAACTATTTCAATAATTGATTAATCACCATTAATCCGATAAAATGTTTCAGCCCAAGTGTGCGTACACGAATATTTCTGTTTACTTGAGGAAGAAAAAAGAAATCAACCAGGGTCGATGATGATAGGGATGATGATTTGGTTCTGTGAGTTTTTGTGAGGTAAAGTCATAACATCTAAGTAAAAAACATTCACCTAGGAATTAGAGATGCACGATATAATCAGCCCCGTCGGTATCGGCCTGTATCGGCCTTAAAACTGAATATCGGACATCGGCCACCCCACCGATATTTAACCCGATATTTGATCAGCTTCTGAGTTTCTAAAGTCTAAAAAAAAAAAAGAAAAACTACTTCTTCTTCCTCAAAAACTTCTTTTTTACAGACTTAAAAACTTCTAAAGACGAAGGAAAAAATATTGATACATTAAAATATCACAATATCTTCATATGCTGATATATTGCCATTTAAAAACACCATTTCAATCTCTTTTACTTATGAAATATTGCTATATGTCATCGTTATGCTACGAAATCCCCCAAAAATTCACAAAATTTTGCCATATTTTTATATGTTGATATATTGACGCGGTATCGATCTATTTTACTAACAAAATCTCACAAGAATTTGCAAAATACCACAAGAGTTTGTAACAGAACAATGAAATTTCACGAGATTTTGAAATTAAAATAGATCGATACCGAGTTTTTAAAAATCAATTTGATATCAGCATATGAAAATATATTTAAATATGTAATTTTTCAAAGTGTCAGAAATGGATAACAAAACTGCTATTTTCAATGACTACTTATTTTTGTCCAGCTTTAACATCGGTATCGATATCGGTTATCGGCTATATGAGTTTTAAAATATCTGCATATCGGATATCGGCCAAAATCCCAATATCGTGCATCCCTACTAGGAATCTATTTTAATGAAGCACCTCTAACACATGGATTCCCTACCAGACATCATGGGAAATAAAAAATAAAAAATCTGCAAAGACATCCTCAAAAAATCTAGTTCACCCTTAGCTAAAATATCCAGAATCCTTAATCATAAACACTAGGCATGAATTAATAAAAATATGTTGCCATGATTGTGATATAATTCATTTGTGTAAAATGCATCAATTATAACGTTGCAGTTTTTTTTTACAGGGTATGTGTAAATACAGGCAGGAGGTAATTTACCTAGAATGAAGGCAGCAAAGATTAATGTATTTACCAACAGAATTATTTTCAGCTAATATATCCAGCAATATGGTGACTGAATGCTATCAGTTTTTAATAGTAATGTTATCTGAAAACTGTATTACAAACAATCGGACATGCAGGAATTCTTGCATCCTGCTATTGAAAGTGTTTTGCTGCAGGAGGGACTGGTGCGCTTCACAACACTGAGGCTGCAACAAGGAGAGCACAAAAAGATTTTTCTACGGAAAAAAAAAAAGAAAACAATGACAGGATACATATAGACTTATCACAAACTGGCCTCAGGACATAAACTTGAGGTTTCGGTAAAGGATGACATAAAGCCCTAGTGGAAGTCCTATAGAACATTAGTGAGCAGAGAAGAAAATGGGTATAAAAGCAGGATGGCCTTACTGTAAATCCTGATTGAGAGTAGTTCTATTTGGACAAAAGCAAAAATTTAAGCTAACTGTTCCAAGATATTCTTTTTTCTGGCATTCCTTACAAACATACATATATAAACATTTGACCCAAAAATGTCAGTGTGTTTGGTTTGAAAGGTTCTAATATTATATTTCACTGCTTTTCCAAAATGTCTTTTTTCTGCTAAATTCAATTCTTTTCATCTTCCATATTCTAAAACAAAGTGTTTCCACGTGTCAAACTTTAAAGCACACAAAAAAATATTAAAAACTGTCCCTATATTATTTGGCGTTTAGAAAATAGAAAGCATTTGTAAATGTTAGTATATACATCAGACATAAAGTTTTTATCTGACAAAAATAAAATGCTTTATCTTTTACACAGTGTATGCAAGTACAGCTGTACAGGCAGATATATTTACTGGCAGCATTTCAGTATATACAGTTTATATACCAAATCTAACTTGCAATAAATCCATTTTAAGAGCAGTTGATTTATTATTCATGGTTAAACACAGTGGGCTACAACGTAATAATCCAGCATTAACACTTGGAACATTAAATCACTTTGCCATATGTCTCAGTTTCTCTCCCCAATGCATTAGTTTAATTATGGTTATTAAGAGTGTAGAAAACATACAGCTCAGGTACACATTATGTGAATACTAAAATACCTAGATTAGCCTCTCTACATTCAACAAAAAAAAAAGGATCAAAGGTTGCTGACTAAACAGGGGACAGAAACCGGGAAATGAGAGACGAGTCAGAGGGGTTGTTGGGCTATTTTCTCTCCGTTTCAGGCTCTGTGGCGGTAGCAGAAATGAGAGCTCACCTGAATAGGACCAGTAGGGGTCACCAGCTGTCCTCCTCTCCCTCATTACGCCTGTGCTCCCAGGACGGCTGCCTCCAGTGAAGCGAGGTTGGTCACCCGATGCAACTGTGGGGGACAGAGATGGAGGTCAGGAAATCCACTGGGGCAGGGAAAAGTATTCTCTCAGCGGGCAAAACAGAACTACTAAAAATGTCAGAATGAAGCACCTGGTGTCAATGAAATTAGCATATATCTAAATTTAAAAGGAAGGAAAACAACACATCAGCAGCATCATCATTCTGTGACTTTGATCTCAAACACACAGACCTCAGCTTGGTGTGAACCCATACAGTTTGGGTTGGTATTAAAGGACTGATATAGTGGTACAATTAGAGAGGGAGACACACAGTCACAATTAAAGGAGATATGAGCTGAATTCTTGTTCCTAAGGTTACCAGCACCCCTCCCCCCTGTCCCTGCACACCTAATCAGGTTGAGGATTAAAATATTCCACTGAGGTATGGGTGTGTGGATCGGTTCCCTCAAACTCTTTATGAAACTTACATGACACAATGTGATCATATATGTCATGTAAAATATCATTGATCCAGAAATAGATGTTAGAATTAGGTTGTGTCAAAGAATTTGTCATGATTAAGAAGAAAAAAATTGACCAGTTACCAGTAAAACAGAGAGGTTTTAAAAATGTAAAACTTCCTACTCAATAAACTTATCCAAGATATTGCTTCAATTGATTTAAATCAGATGCAAAAGAAACTGATGAGAGTTTTCTATGCCTGTATAGATGATGGCAACATTTTGTCCCCCTCCCTGACATATTTCTCTGCAGTGGCATAAAGGATAGCTCCTACATTTTCTGTTCCATATGCAAAGAAACATTTTGTTTATTTTTTATAATAACATTGTAAATAAAAATTGCTATATTAGTATTAAGCCTTAATTAGCCAGAATGGTACAACCTGCATTTTTTCCAGGAATATCACTGGAAAAATTATCAGATAAGACAGTTTCAAGTAAAATCCAAAATTGAAATTTTAAAAAGGCAAGGATAAACACAAAGCACGTGCAGAAGTTACCGGTAATGCAAAATAGAAAAAAATTCAAAAAGAGTTGAGAGATGTTACAAATTTTAACTATTCCAACTATAAAAACATCACAATTCATCTCCAGTAAAAAGTTGAGATATTTCTAGTCCCAAAAGTAGCAGATATTTAAAAACACAAATGAGCTCTATTGCACAAGTTTAAAGGATTTTCTTTTGTCTAGGCTTTTTTCCTTGCCATACATGCTCTACGATTGCCCACCTTTAAAATTATTTTTTCCTCTTTTCACCAAAGTTGCCTCAATAGGCTCCATAGATCAGTTCATGAGAGAGAGGTTTGGGTTGAATTCTCTGGGGGTGAGTGTTGATGTGAAACATTGGAGGCTCCTGTTCTCCTGGCTACTTCAATATCAGCCACATGTGAAACTCAAACCCCACCCCAGACTCAACAAAAGAAAGTAAAATGCAACAAAAAGGGCAAAACTGGAATTAACAGTGGCAGAATAAGATGAGGGTAAATTCTACTTTGGTAATTAATGGATCTGTGGTTGGCCCTCTTATTGTTAATAGGGTAAGATGTTCCTGTCAAAATATCAATGTCTAGAACTTCTTGTTCACCCAAAAAAAAAAAAGAACCCTATGCAATCCCAGTGGCAGACTGTGCAGCTTTTTCCTCTTCTATCACAGAGAAAACTACTGTTGACTTTTCAACTGCTCACCAGATGGGGCCAACATCTGCGAAAACTCTGCAAAAGCTCCCTTAATGTATAACTATCAAAAAAGAGATATCCCATCAATTATAAAAATGATTAGATAATGCTTTAGTGGCAGTAGAACATTTTTGATGTTTTGCTTAAAAAACAAAAAACTGGAGCCTGCTTTGCATTACTAATAACAAGTTGATGATGTTTTTTTTCACACACTGCTATAGAAACTTCAAAATGCCCATACTTGCACCAGACTACATCAGCTAAGACATAAGAATGATCGGTGTTTGTGCTCTTGTGATAACATTCCTTTTTAAACATTTCATCAGTACCAGAAGAAAAATTATTAATTTAAATCTTAACAGTTACCCAATTAACAGAGGCATGATAGAGCTCTCTAATGATACTGCCACCTCTGGCAAAAATTCTGAACTGCAGTACTCATCTGCTTGTTGTAGGACATGCTCATACTTAACAAGTTGTTTTACTTTTTCACTTTGTGGAGTTGCAATTGGTGTCTGAGTTAAGCTGGATGCAGGTCATTATGATTATTCACAAAATACTTTGTTTTTCCTCGATTGGACTCATGACTTTCCTGACTTTGAAAGGTTACTCCTGACAGTCCATTGGCACCAGACTTTACTGTTGCTAAGAAAAGTGCTTACTTCTACTTGCATACATGGATCTTTGTGCAGGCTCCAATATTTTCTTTCCTGTGGAGGCAAACCCACTACCGCCACCTAAAGGGCTGGAGGGAAAAAGCCAGTGCCTAACACTTGTTAAATATAATGTAACTAAAATTCAGTTTCTCTGCATTTGCAAAATGTAAGTTTAAATTTAACCTTTGACTTTTGAAAAAGAGGTCAGTCCAACCTCCAGTATATCTTTGCTTGGCCATGGAAGACCAAAAATGCATGTCGCCTACATCCCCCAGAATATTGTGCAGTTCTGGATCACAGTTTGGTGAATTTTGCTGATCTTTCTATCACACTTTTTTTTTCTATTGATATTTCTATTGAATTTTTGTGTATCCCAAAATAAATTGTTTATGTTTTATTGCCCAGCTTTAGTTCAAATACACCAAGTGAAACAGGTAACACTAATTTAAGTGACCAAGTTACTAAAAGTCATGGAGATTGGTATTGACCCAATGATAAAGGAAAAGGGAGGGTAAAAAAATATTTTTTTTTCATGTTTTTATTGCTATGCAGTTTTACCATCATATATTTTGATCTGGAGTCTGACCGCAGTAGATGCCCACACAAATTAAAGTGGACAAAATGCTAAAGGTCACATGGAGTGCTCAAAGCACACAGAAAAGAAAACACAGGGGTGAAGAAATGTATAACAAACCAAATCATTACTGCAATAGTCAATTATTACCACTTCATTATTTTTAAACATATAATTGCGTTATATATGTATAGATGTATAGATGTATAGATGTATAGATGTATAGATAGATAGATAGATGTATAGATGTATAGATAGATAGATGTATAGATAGATAGATGTATAGATAGATAGATGTATAGATAGATAGATAGATAGATAGATAGATAGATAGATAGATAGATAGATAGATAGATAGATAGANAGATAGATAGATAGATAGATAGATAGATAGATAGATAGATAGATAGATAGATAGATAGATAGATAGATCGATCTATCTATCTATCTATCGATCGATCGATCTATCTATCAATCTATTGGTTGTGGATTGTGTTTATACACGACTAAGCAAAAATATCCATTTGTTTTTAAATTATCCTAGCATAAAAAAAAAGAAATGCAATGTATCATTTTATCACTATTCGTCATTTAGGATAATGTGTTTTGTCTTCTATAAGACTAGGGCTAAAAGAACTAATTGGATTAATCGTGACTAATCAAATATTGAAATAATGGTCAACTAATTTAGTAATCAATTAATCATTAAATGTATTATAGAGACTGTAAAGCAGCCTTGAGATTAGAGAGCAAACTACTTAGAGCAGTAATTATCCAGAAATTGCATTGAAAAAAAAAAGTTTTAAGTGGAAAAGTTTTAGTTTCAAATGGTTTACATTTTGTAAAAAAAAAAGAAAAAAAGAACAGTGAGAACTGATTAGGTATTGGCATCCAACTGAGAAATGTGGTATTTCTCAGTTGGATAATTTAACTCTAAAATGAATGACATGCAGGGACAGGGAAAAGGGCAACCCTAAAAAAACAATTTTCTCTTAGAAACTGTAAATAATTTTGGATACTTTTGAGTGAAGGATGTATAGAATCCAGAGATTAGAAGATAAAGAAAAAGAAGAATGAAACATTTAGGCTACTGAAAAATGTTGGTAAAGAAGGCCAATATTGTCAATTAACTCATTTTCAAATTTTGAGTTGGTGTTTTTCTATGAAAACATGCAGGACAGGTCAAAATGCTTAATTCAAAATGTTCGTTATGGCATTTTTCTTGTAAAGACAGCATTTATGCAGTAAATTCAACATTTGTCTTCATATTTCTTTCCCACTTGGCTCTACCTACAGTTGATACCGGAGACCAGGCAGTGATCTTCTCCTCCTCATTATATATACAAACACGAAATCTATATATTTGCCAAGCTCTTCAAACAAGGAAATGGTTTTATGCTAATTACAGCATCACAAGGCAAAGCAGAGATAGAAGCCGATCTGAACAAACAAGAAAGAAAAATCAGACTTTCAACCCAGGTGCCATTTTCAGCACAAAGCATTAATGGGTGATAATTACCACGATTGGGGCTTTAGAGCTTTGCAGAAAACAAGTGGAGCCTCTTGCACTGTACACGTGATTGTTTCCTGCCTTTTTTTATTTGGAATGAAGTACAACCTTTAAAGAAGCAATTCATCAGAAAAATAAAAACAATAATAATAAAATGTCTGCATGCTCAATATACACTTAAAAAAATAAATAAAGGAAACACTTATATAACATCCTAGGTCTGAACGAATGAAATATTCTCATTAAATACTTTGTTCTGCACAAAGTTGAATGTGTTGACAACGAAATCGCACAAAAATCATCAATGGAAATCAAAGCAATTAACCAATGGAAGACTGGATTTGGAGTCACACATAAAACTAAAGTGTAAAAACAATACAGGCTGATCCAACGTTGATGTAATGTCCTTAAAACAGGTCAAAATTACACTCAATATTGTGTGTGGCCTACATGTGCCTGTACGATCTCCCTACAATGGTTGGGCATGCTTCTGATTAGGTGGCAGATGGTCTCCAGGGGGATCTCCTCTCAGACCTGGACTCAAGCATCCACTAACTCCTGGGCAGTCTGCGATACAACATGACATTGCTGCATAGAACGAGACATGATATCC